CCCAGCTGACTCATTTCCTCTCTTCAGTCTCCACCAAAGAGGTTGTTAGAGTCTCGCCTACACCTTCCCAGCGTTTGCTGAGCCCAGTTCGTCTCTAAACGTGTTTCTGAGCACAATGACCACCTCCCGGTCTCCAGCTGTCCTCCGTGCAGGCAGGGAGCTGGGCTGTTCCTGCCCCTCACTCAGCCCTGCCTCTTGCACACCTGCTTCCCCAGGGAGGATGAACTCTGAAGAGGAAGAGGAAGATGTGTCTGAAGACAAAGAGTCACATGCCTGCTGAAAGCAGAGGGGTAACGTGGGAGCCCATGGGGAGGGGTGTCTCACGGGCTGCACTGCTGCTCCTCTGTACCCTGCAGCAGCTACAGCCTCTCCCACTCTCCCTCCCTCCTCTTTTTAATTTGGTTTCCTTCTCGCTGCTGCCAACAGAAGCATTTCTAACATCTCTACAGCCAGAGAGAGACCAGAGCCCTCTGAAAAGCAGCTAACTGCTGCTGGGGGACAGGGAAAGCGAGCTGGGGGAGACCTACCGTGACATTTTAGCTGTCACGAGGGTCAGAGAGCTCTGAAGCAAGTTTGGGTTTAAATTCTCAGCCAGGTATTGAAAGTGGCAAAAACAGCCTTGACAAAAAGCAGCAGCTCTGGTTCTGGTTCATCAGCTCTGTGAATGAAGATCGTCCGTGTCGGGCTGCAACCCCATCTGCTCCCCGACAGCCGGGGACCCCCCCTTCCCCCACAGCTGCAAACCCTCCTTTATCCGCCCTGCCCATCTGCACGCCACGGACACCAATCGACACTCCATCCCTGCAAACAGCCACCAGGACGAGCTGTCGTTTGAGGAAATGAATTAATGGTTTGAAATCTTCTCTCTGGACACAGAGTTCAGCAATTGAGGAAATCAGCTCATGTAGGCTGATGCCCCACATCAGACCACCTCACACATTCACCAGAGTAACAGCAAATACATCTTTTTTTACCATTTTTAAGCATATTCTCAACTTTCAGTCCATTTAATCTTTGCACAATTATTGAGCCTTACCTGACCAGAACTATTTCCCAGAAACGTACAGAAAGGACCTCCACAAACTTCTGCCCTTAAAGCCACAGCTAAGCCCCTTGGAAGCAAACAGCATTGTTTTCTCCATGTCAAAGCTTTGCCACAGCTCTTCCCAATGGCTTTACAAAACAATTAGCCCATTCAATGTCTCTGTAGCTACGTGAGGCTGTGACACACGAGTGCCACATGTACCAGCCACTCTTCGGCCACCAGAAGTGACCTGCCCAACCACGACACAGCCAAGCTGAAACACCCAAAGCAGCACCAATGCTTCCCAAAAACCAGGTGTGTATTGAGAACACATCGCTTGGTCATGCTGCAGCCACCAAAGCAACCCAGGGCAGTCCCACGAATGGGGACAAACAGGTCACCTTCATATCCTTATGGTCCTGAGGACCACCTGCACCAGCCCCAAAGAGCTGATCTCAAGACCCAAACAGGCCCAGATGGTCACACCACCAAAGCCACACCTCCAGCCCATCAGCGTGACCTCCAGACAGTTTTAAATGTGTTTGACAATGCCTGTGCACACACCAACTAGAAATAATTTATCAGTTTTAAGAGTTAAATACTAAAAGTTTAAAGCACCAAGCCAACAAATAGCTAGAGAGGTATACATATATATATATATACACACACATATATATATATACTTTTATACAGACATACACATATATATCAGGTTTATTTTAGGCAGACACATGCAAGTTCATTTTTTACTGCTTGTTTTTGTTCTTTTAAAGGATATTCAGCTTTATTATTTCCCAAGTCCTTACTAGCAGGCCCAGAACTGCTTCTTGGCTCATGTGAGCTTCAGTTCATGAACTGGACTAGTCAGAGCACACCAGCAGCCACAGGAAGAGTCTCTGGGCAGAGCCAGCTCTTGGGCCCGTTCAATACATTACTAAGAACATAAGGACCCTAATCCCCTCAGCTCCAGCTGTGTGTGCACACCACAGCAGCTGTCCTCTTGTCCACATGTCTCTTCCTTTAATTAATAAATACATGGAATTTGATCCAACACTTCAGTACGGATTGTCTGTATACTGGATAGTGTCTGCTCCCCACCAGCCCCAACATACGTGTTTTTGAGGGTGGAATATGTCATTTTGGTACCTGTATCCGAGTCTTTTTGATCTCCATTTGTTCCAACAGTGAAAGGCAACTTCCGTTTGGTTGCTCGCTCTTTCACCTCTTTGCCACCATCGCTCCGGTCCAACTTGGGAGTCTTGGTTAGAGAAACTTTATCTTTATCCTAGAAAGAGAAAAGACCAGATTAACAAGAGCCTGTGCCCACCTAACCCCCAACATCCAGCCTCACTTGTCTTCTCTCCTTTCCACCATGGGTTTCCAGCACATCAGGGTTTAGCATCTTTCAGAAAGGAGACTCCACCAAGCCCAAATGCTAAAATATCACTAGAGAAGAGTGAGGCCAACCAGGGCCAATGCACATGAGAACTGGAGCCAACGCCTTGTGCGCAGCTGTGAGCACATGGGGAAGGCAGGCTGGGCTGGGGGAACACAAAGATTCCCAAACACAACCACTCCCATTGTCTGGGAAGGGTTTCCTGATCCTGAGCAGAAGTGGGATGCCAGGGAGCAGGCACAGCACACCTGAGGGACACACACAAAACCCAGCATTAAAGCCCTTGGTTCAGTGTGGAAGGGTTGAGGGCTTCTCCTTGCGGCTTGTGGTATTTCAGGCACAAGAACACAGCAGGACTAGTTGGGCTTATGGGATAACACGTTATTCTGGAGCCGGTAAGCGGCAGCGGGTAAGTCTGCTGACATTACTGACCGTGGACAGGATCAGCTCCACAGCCAAACGCACTTGGAAGGTTTGTATGGTACAGTCAGAGTAACGGTTTGTACCAGCAAGGCCAGTCCAGCTCTGCCTGTACCCACAGGTAGCACGTTCCACCCCACAGCAGGCAGGTCCATCAGCTCCTGGCTCTGCCTGCGCTCCCGCAACCGCCTCCGTCCCAGGGTAACGACTCCAACAGCAGCTCCAGCAGCCCCAGCCCCAGGGCTGTGTTTGGGGTTGATCATCTCCAACGTCCAGCTATGTGCAAACACCACGAGGTGTTCTCAGGGGTTGAACATTTAAACCATCCCTCTCCCACGCAGGTTTTAAGAGGGGAAGCAACCTGAAGGACAAAGCTACCAACACTGCGTAAGAGCACGGAAAGCGACGCGGACGCCTGGCTGAGTGCTCACTGCTTCCTCAGAGAGGCAGACCTATATCTGCTCTGCACTAGTCTTTTTTATTCAGATTAGTTTGGATTTTAATATTTTAAATTATTAATAATTTAATAAAGTGAAGCAGGTGATGCTGGGGACCGCTCAGTATGAACAGCAGGAAGAAATTTTGAAGAAACATCCCAAGCAAGACAAAGTTACCAAGTATTGAGATGGGCAAGATTTTTCAGATGAACAGCAAGAGCTGGTACATAACTCAAACTCGAGGAGTTTAGTACACTGAGAACATACACAGACTGAAACCAGGCACTGGTGAGTTCTGTATTTGAGGCACAGTATTATTTTAAGCAAGTGCTTCTCGTTTGAACACTGTGCCACTGCACTAAAAACAAGGCCAGAACCAGCAGCTTTGTGACAGATCTGATTTCAATTACCTAGCAAAACCCAGACTTTAAGCTTTAGATATAAAGTTAGATTAAATAAAAGAATCTCAATACATTAAATCATGCAAGACCATCACTGGAAACTCAGAGAAGCCAATCTAACAGAAATTCCCTTGTTTAGAGAAGCCCAGTCATGCTGTCTGCATCAGCCTCAGCACCCTGGCAGGTGGCTCCTGTGCCAGCAGTCACAAGACCGCGGCGTCACTGTGTACACTGCTCCTTCCTCTGCCCGAGCTGCTGTCTGGTGACCAGACTTCACCTGCAGATTAAAGAGAAATTGTTTAACTCAGACCAACGGGTTCTGCTTGCGTGTCCCCTCTGCGATGGGCAGCATGAGAGCCCAGCAGCTACACGGCCCCTCTCACCCGTGCTCCGGTGAGGACTAGAAAAAATGGGCTGGGGAATCCCTGTTTTTGGTTAAGCAAGTGAAACAAACGTATCTGACAGTGGTTCTGGGGGCTGGAGGCAGCCAAGACACGCTGGGCTGCGGGTGCGCAGGACTTCACCTCCGGAGCCCGAAGAAGGGCAGCCCTGCTCGGGAGCAGGCACCGCCAGCCCTTCCTCAGCACAGGAGCAACGGGACAAAGTCACAGCAGCCAAAACAAACACTCCAGCATTTCATTTAAGCACTCTGGATTTAAATGCTTTGGTTGTATTTTTTTTTCCCCCTCCTGACGTGAACAAAAATAGTTTGCAATAACAGATGATGCCACTTGTATCGCCAGCTGCTCTTCTGACCAGCTCAGAGGTGCACGTAGGGCCAGGGACGAATGACCATCTCCCAGGACTGCCTTGTTGGAAGCAGGTACGTTGGTCTGTCCTTTCCCTCCCCATTTGAACACAAGCTCCAACAGCAACACTACATTCAAACCCCACCAACCCTGCACCAGCGCTGAGCACCTGAGAGGCCGTGTCCACGTGGGGTGAAGCACCATCTTCCCTGGATGTAACAACTGCAGAGACGTGGCCTCAACATTCTCCTTTAAAAACCGCACTTCAGGACAATGAGCAGCCCAACAATTTTTGCCCTTAAAAGTAAAGAGAAGACCACATGTGTGCCTCTTCCTCTGCTGCCCATGGCCAGGGCACGCTGGCACACCGCTGGCAAACCCGGCACCGTGTCCTGCTCCAAAAGCAGGAGCTGTTTGCACCTCTCACGCCAGACACGTGCGGTGCAGGTTTGCCAGCACGGAGCGGTGGCAGATCCCTGGGAAGAGAGGTGCTTGTACAGGACTCTCAGATGGATCACTCATAGCTGACGCTTTGAAAATGATGCTTCCCTGCATCAGCCACCGTGCTCACTGTCTGTGCCACAATTCCTCGCCCGGAGCCTCCAGAGCAGCTGTTCCACGAGTGTCTGAGGACCAGGACAGCCTTTGCCCGCTCTCCCAGCAGTAGGGCAGGATGCGGCCAAGCCCCCGGTACCCCATGGTGAGATTTCCTACACTCCCAGACACCACTTCACATTGAGAGCTCCAACAAGAGATCAATTGTGCTCAACACACACACACAAAAAATGATTCTTTCGTTATTTATTGCCTTAAAATAGATTTCAGATGGAGCAAACCCATCGTGTCCTCTGCTGCCCAAAAAGCCTCGCAGGTAACCTGGCTCCGGGCATCAGCTGGCAGCGCTGCTGCTCTTGCACCCCATGTAAAAGCAAATGATGGTTGGTGACAGCTTGTTTAAAACGTACATTCCCTAAAATTCCCTTAATCCTTGGACTTTGCTGCTGTGGTGCAAAAGCCCAAAGCTGCAGGAGGGCTGTGGTGCCTGCAAGCCAGGTCAGTCATCTGCTGTATTAACGCCGTACGGGATCTCTGCACGCTCAGGAGTAAGAAAAAACTCAGGACAAGTAAAATACAACTTACTCTAGAAAGTTATTACAATGCTGTTAAAAGCTCTGCATTGGAGGAGAGAGAAAAAAGAGAGGAATTAGGCAAAAAACCTTCCCAGCCAGGATGGTGAGCCCAGCATGGAGATGGCTGCGTGAATCCCAGCGTCGGGCACGCTCGGGCAACGCTTCGTTTGCATTTGCCCCAACGCTTGGAGCCCCTAATCCAGTGAGTTCAGCAAAATTAAATACCAAAGAACGAAGGAAGTGGCGGCGGTGCCAGCACTGCTTTGAAGATTAATTTGTACGGTAGCACAACAATAACCTTTTCTACTAATTGGAGCAAGGAAGATCCAAACTTTGCTCCCCCCTGGAAAGCAGCGACCTGCTGAGGGTGCCTGCAGCAGCTGCAGCGAAACCACGGCAGAGGAATTAAGGCAGCTTGGAGAGTCGTGTTCCTGAAAGTAATGAGCGTTTTCATTTTCTCATTTTAAGCTTTACTTCCCTAATTATTTGCAATTTTGTAATGAGGAATGTACTCATGTTCAGGTCTTCTCACGTTTAAAGTAAGCTCACTCAGCTGAGTCAGGTTTCACAGAAGGAACAAATCCAAATTACTCGACACTGCAGAGAAACTCGTATGAACATCCGTGTTGAACACGGGCTCGGGGCTCTCAGAGGCCAGGACAGCTCTTGCTGAGGGTAAGAGAGGGAGTTTGGGGAATGGGGGTGCTGGCGAGAGCTCAGCAACAAGTTCCCCTTCGTGGGTATTAATAAAAGCTGCTTTGGCGAAGGGCAGACCATGACTGTAGGAAAAATCCCCTCCTGTCACGCTATGTTATTAGTAAGATTTACTATATGAGTAACTGAACCCACCTCGACTTACACTTGCTACACTTAAAAGCTGCATCCCAAGCTGCTATCAGCCACCACGGTTTGGAGCACAAACCCATCAGGAACCGGTCCCCAGCAGCTACGACGACCTCAGCCACGCGTGCGGCGTACGGACTGGAAGTGCTGAACTGCGTCTGTGCCGAGCTCTCGTTATGACAAAGATCTCTCATCAGCCAGAGAGACCCTGATATCAATCTGCTCGGGTCATTTATGACATTTACAAATAAAAGCCACTTTTCACCCTCACGCAGAGCTCCAGCTAGGCCAGCTTACTGTCCCAATGTCACTTCTCAGAGCAAAACCAAACATGTCTTTCTTTTTGATGCAGAATTCTGCGAGGCAGAGCCACATACAAACCCAGGCAGGGAAATGTGTATTTCAGCAGAGAAGCTGAGTGAGCCTGTGCTCACTTTACTGGACAGGCCACGCAGCTGCTCTCCCCGCTGTCCGTACGAGCCGCACGCAGCCGGGCTGTGCCATCAGTGCCCACACACAAGCTCTGAACTGCTGCCTCTGCCCGCGCACCGGGAGCTGTGCCGGAGCCGTGCCGGCACTTCCACACCGACAAAACCTGACTCACAACCCAGCTGCTTCTGCAAAGACTTGCATGACCAGCGATGGAAATCCCCAAAGCCCTTTGTTCTCCAAAATGAGTTGAAAGTATTTCAGGTTGCGATGCCAGGAAGAAGTAATCAGCAACCAACAAAACCAGCCTCGGTAGCCTGGGAGGAGAGAAGGCCCAGAAGGACCAAGGGCTCCAACACCTGTGTCCCCAGGTGATGCCCCACACCAAGGTGACACACCAAACTCCTGCCTTGGGGAAAACAACCCACCTGCAAAAAGCAAATGCTGTGAGAGCAGGAGTCTCCCTGCACTAACACAGACAGGAGCGTGTCGTTTGATAGGACAAGAGGAAATGGCCTCAAGTTGTGCCCAGGGCAGTTGAGATGGGATGTGAGGAAGAATTTCTTTGCTGAAAGGGTTCTGAGGCATTGGAAGGGGTTGCCCAGGGCAGTGGTGGAGTCCCCATCCCTGGAGGGATTGAAGAGTCGTGTAGACACAGTGCTGAGGGACATGGGTTAGTCATAGGGGACTTGTCAGTGTTGGGTTCATGGTTGGACTCGATGAGCTTAAAGGGCTTTTCCAATCCAAGCCATGCTGGGATTCTGTTTCCTGAACAGGTCTCTGCTGTGGAGGAGAGAAGGGGCAGGAGAAGGGTTCTCACCCTGTGTTACACAAAGGGACGGACACAATCTTACCCAGAGAACACACTGGAAGTGGTGGAAACCAAACCCCAGTATCCTCTAAATCTGTGTCCCTTGTGGCCTTCCCAAAACCAGGGTGAAACACACACGGATTGGCACAAACTTCCAAAAAATTTGGGTCACAATCAATGCTGCAACTAAACATTACAGAGACACCTGGAACTGAAGTCCTGTTCCTGGGTGCCTTGGGCCTTCACCGAGGTCTGTAAGAAATACCACCTGCAACAACTATGGGCTGCTTATCTCCACTGAAATGTCAGCTCTTCAGTGTCCACGTCACCCAGCGCTTCAGCACGTTTCAGGCCCCGGCACGTGGCTCTGCACAGCCCAGCACGTATTTGCGTGGCACAGGAAAAGCCCTACAACGCCAAGAGGTTTCAAGAAGAATTGAGAAATGAGGAGAACGTTCCCTTTTCTGAAATTAGGAGAAAAAGCAAAAACTTTTTGGAAGCACAGGAAAAATAATGAAATAGGAGCAAAATGTATTCATACTACTAAAATTATTACGGATAAAAAGTGTAGCGGTTTTCCTCCGTCACTCATGTGGAAGGCAGCCGAGTTTGATCCAATATGGGTATCAGGAGGTTAGCATGTCCCCCAGCAAGGCTCCCCCACTGAGAAACCACCACCCCATCACCCAGGAAAGGATGAGAAGGCAGCACTCTCAGCAGTTCTCCTCACATCGTCTCCCCCTGTTTGCTCACTTAACCTCTGCTAGCTCCTACGAGCAAGTCCAAACCCGAGGGTTAAGCCCTGTTCTGCTCAGCGTTCAACTACCGCAGCAAAAATGCGATTCAGACCATGCAAGTGGGAGCATTTCCCCCCTAAAGAGACAACTCCTCTGCCACAGCCGCTGAGCACACGGCGCAACCACGCAGCGAGCGGTCCCAGGCGCATCAGGAAATGGTTTCCACAACCGATATAATTCTGGCTGCGGTGTTCTGCTCAGCCTAAGTCATGAGTAATCTGCTTCTGGTATGGGGATCTGTGGATCTAAACCAGAAAGGAGAATTATTCATATATGGCATATGTATTTTTTACAAAACCCTTCAGGCTGAACTCAACCAGCAGAAGCGACCGCCCCGGGCAGGCTGTACGCAGCCATATAAGGCTGGCAGGGCCCGACCGGCCGCCCCGCTGCCGCTGCTAACCCCAGGGAGAAACAGCTCCTCGCTCAACAGCAGCAAAGCAGAGGAAGCATCTAACACTGTCGGCCACGGAAGGCAAGAGACAAGGTCTTTAAATCACTTTGCTCTCGTGGCTGCGCCAGCACAAGTGACATGTCACGAGTTAATAGGTCCCTCCCATGGAAGGGTAGGGAGCTGAGAGCGAGGAGGAGTTCCCTCTCGTAATGAGCTGTGCAAGTGAAAGGCAGCAGCTCACATCCTCTTCCACAAAGCACGAGCCCTCTGCAGAAAGGGCAGCGTCCTCGAGAGCCTGGCTGGGATGGGTTCAAGCGCAGAACTCACACGTTTCCCGCAGCACTCAGCCCACCCCGATGCCAGGACCGCTGAGCATCCCCCACCGTTGCTCGAGCTTCTGAGCCCAAACACGCCAAGGCTGTTTAATGTTAAAATCCCTGTGGATGTTAAGGTCACATTGAGAGGAAAACACTGAAGTGTGACCGCAGCTCTGGCTTCACCAGGCTCAGCCCGTGCCAGCCGCGGTGGGTGCGGGTCCCTCCGTGCAGGGCGGCTCGGGCTCGGCCACAGCTGCTCTCAGCAGTCGCATGCCAAGTGGCAGGCTGAGGCTTTTGGAAGTGTTGACAACTCAAGATAAATGAAAAGCAGCAGCTCGCTTGACAGGCAGGTACAACAGCGTCGGGAAGGAGGAGGAGGTCTAATGACCGAGTGCTTTTACACTGAGTCACTGCTCCAGCTCACGCTCCAGAGTGAACCAGAAACAGGGAGATTTGCTGCACCGTGTCCTTTGGCCACTTAGGCTGGACCTCAGCTCAGTCCCTGGAGGACAAGAGCCTGCAAGTTCCTTCTCCATTGAGAAGACCACAATTCAGTGAGCAGAAAGGCTCTTCCCCGTCCTCACTCAGTACCACTCTCTGCCGGTCTGCGCTGACACCTCTGAATGGGAAGCATCAAATTATTTGTGTCCTAGTTATTTCACCAGCAGGAGATAACTCCAGCTCCCAGCGTCCCCAGCGCCGCTCAGCAAACCTGCTCTGTAAATAACACGCAGCCTTTCAGCTGCCGCAAGTGGATGAAATAAAATGGGAGCTGATTCATATTATAACTGATCCTCTCCCTCCCCAAGCACCTGCGCCAGCATTAAGCTCCTTACACGGCACAGACAAAACCCCGTATTTCCATATCCCGCGCTGCCGGGCTCAGCCTCATTTGCCAGGGTAAATGCTGGTATTTTCCTGATGCAACAGGGCAGATGTTTCACCTCCAACAGCCCCACTCCCACTTCTCACCCCGCTCCTACCAGCCCCACGTCGTGTGTCTGCGCAGGATCGACGCTCCCGCTCTCAGCACGGCTCCTGAACCGGACCCGTGGGTACACGGCGACACAGAAAAGGAACCAGGGAGATGCTGGTGCTCAATAACCAAACTTCTACCTGGGATTTTCCCATTGGTTATTTGTCATTTTTCTCACTTTGTCAATAATGTGACTTCAATCGTAAGAGGAACCACTGTCAGCAACGTGGGTGGGACTGCAGGGGAAGTGACAGAGCAAGTGACACAGCACGGCTGGTGCTCGCAAAGCTCAGCTTCAGTTCCCAGGGTCTGGCAGAAACTCCTGGGGAATGCTGAGGAACCAGAGCGAGGAGGGGAAAGGAAAGTGAATATTTGTTTCCATAGCAGAATATAGTAGATGTAAGTTTTAATTTTTATTTAAAGGTAACATTTGCACCCAGCTTTCTGCACAACTATTTACTGGAAACTACAGATACCAATAAGTATGGAAAAAAAAGCTGAATGGGAGGAGGTAGAGCTTAAGTCTAGAGCAAAACAAGAAATCTGGGAATGAAGGAGAGAAGCACGAACTTAAATTTATCTTTAAACTCAGATTTCATCTCAGTAACCTCACTTCAAGCCCAGTTAAAACCTAAACACTTCAAATAAAAGCCCAGAAGCAGTCATTTCAGCAGAGCAGCTCACACGCTGAGTCCTGGTCAGGCCACACTCAAGAGCCCAGACTTCTGGGTGAAGCAAGACCAGCCAAGCCCGACACAGACGCGGTATTTACAGCCAGAGGAGGAGGAGGAGGAGGTGAAACTCCTCCCTCGCACAGCACGTGCTTGCGAGATCACTGCGTGACTTGGTCCCTCCACAGCGTATGGCAGCAAGCCTTAACAACACACGGTACTGGCAGAAGAGAATCTTCCAAAGCATCCCCTCCCTGCTCGGCCGAGTCGGGTCTGTGCTGCCACCCTTCCCGGGAAGGACTGCAGCCCCCGAGAAATAAAGCAGCCCTCATCAGCTGGCAGAGTGCCAACACACAGATGTGGTTCCGGTGATAACAGCCCATGGCAACCTCCTGCCAGGGCTTGAGGACATCAAGCACGAGGGGCAGCATCCCTAAAGGAAGGCAAGTGAAGTAAACACGTTACCTTTTTCCCCGTTTGTTTCTCCACCATGTCGTTGCTGAGAGAGAAATCTTCTGGCTGTGGTGTTTTAGAACACCCACCCTTGGGCATCGTTCTGCCTTCCTTACTTGATCTTCATTTATGCTGCCATCGCCTCATCATCAACCGTCTGTTTAGAGAGAGGAAAAGAGAAGTTAGACATCTCAAAAGAATCTTTCCACTGGGAGGGAGGGAAGACAAGACACTTCCCGTGGGGATATCCCCCCACCAAACTCTTCAACAGCAACACCAGGATGGCAGAGCACCTCCAAATGCTGCACACTGCTGACCAGAGCGGGCAAAACCGCTGCTGGCTTCTGCCACCTTCTGCATGGGAAACAAGCTGGGACCTGCAGCTGCAAACAGGACTTGTTTCATGTGCAAGGGAGAGCCTAAGATGGATGGTGCCCAAACAGAGAGCAATATCCCTCCTGTTCTTCACCTACAGCATCACTGCAAGCCTACAGACAGCTTCTTGGAGCTCCAGTGCAGGGACATGGGGATGGAGCCCCTGGGTACATGTGTGGGACAGTCATACTCCCTGAGTTTTTCACGTTGAATTCCCAGACACTCGCAGGACTAACACACACACACACTGCTAGATTAAAAAACTGACTCATAAAACACACTTTTCAACCATTTCATCATTATGAGATGAGACCAGTAACCCCCAAAGGGGCAGAGTGTTCCTAGAGGGGTTTGCCATGAGCTCCTCACCCCGGCACCGGCGCTGCCGCCGCGCCTTGGCCTAGGTAAGACAATTTGGAGTATAACAAAGCGCTCGCTGCTCCTGCCATGGGGTTGCCTGGTTACAGGGCTGAAAAGACAACTGACATCTGAAATACAGCGAAGCATGAGCTGCAAGAGGGATCAGAAATACCGGCTGCAGCCAAGGCAGCCGAGGCCTTTTTAGGTGAACAAAAATATCTCCTCTCCCGAGACCAGAGGCTAAAAAGCATCCGTGCAACAGTATATCTCCGAGAAGTGACCCACATCAATCCCTGCAGCAAAGGTCTCCTCGTACTTACGCTGAAACGGCATAAACAGGCACCATTTGAAAACTCCTTCCCCAGCTAATTGCCACCTGACAACACTCCACATTACACCCATTAACTTCTTACGAGAGCGGCTGGGTTTCTGCAGAGCTACAATTGCAGGAAATTGTCCAGGAACAAAGTCATGCAGCTCCATCACAAGATGGGAATTCTGTGGGCGGGGAGAGAGAAAGAAAACAGAAGAGAGGAGCCAAACCCTCCTGCCTGCTCCAGGCTGGGGGACAGAGCAGTGTGGACCTCGAACCGCATCCCAGGCAGCACCAGGAGAGCCCAGCACCATCCTGCCGGGTGCTGGGTCCTCACACTGGTGATAGCCAGGACAGGACAGGGGGTTAAAGCTGGAGGAACGCTACTGTGCTGCTTTCATCAGCCTTGTATTTCAGAAGTTCCCTGGAAATCCCTTCAGATTTAAATGTCACATTTACGCTTCAGAGGCTTTAGGGCCCTTTGGGTTGTTTTGTGGGTTGGTTTTTATTTTTAAATAAGTGATTTGGAGGCCCCATCCCAGCCCTGCAGCACAAATTTCCAGACCAAAGCACTGGGCACAGCCAGTGCTGAGACATCCTGGTACAGCAGGAGACTGTGCTTCCCAAGGTGGCTAACTGACCATCATAACTCCTTCACCTGGGCTAGGAGAGGACAGTGATCCATGTTTAGGAACAGAGGCTTTGGGGACTGAGGCCTCTTCATGTCCCCCTGCTCAACACAGGGACAAGCTGCTATGCTGAGTTTTGGGACACCCAGACAGGAGCCCTCAGCCCTTTCCTTCTGGATGCAAGAGCAGGGAAGGATCCAAACTGGCAAAGACACAAGCAAGGAAAGCAAAAACAGGGAGGAAAATGCAGAAAATTCAGTATACCAACCCAGCGTGTCCATAAAGAGAAAATGGAAAAAGAAAATCTTCTGTTAGAGCGAGGGAACGACTGCAGAAATCTGTGTCTCCAAATTTCTGTTCTTCATCATCCGAAGGGCCTGCAGCCCAGCACAAGTGCCAGAGTTCAAGCACCAGAAGGGCTGACTGAAAACAGCACCTTAAAAAGGCAGCTCAGCCGTCCCCGGGCTCGCTCGGCGCCGGGGGAGAGAGGCTGGAGCTCGCAAAACCTAAAGCCAAGAGCGAGCAGCCCTGGCCTCAGGGCTCCCACACACCCAGCCAGGGGTTCCCCGCCTATCCAGATGTCACGTTTCACAGCAGCGTGGCTGTCCTGGCACTGGTGATGCTCCACCAAAGGCTTTGCTCTGGAGCATGAGGTGTCCCCTCCATGTTCCGCATCCCAGGCGCTGCAATTGCTTCTTCTAAAAGCAGCTTCAGCCACTTACAGCCTCAAGAACCTCACTGTGTCAGCCATCAGTTACCAATTTGTAAAGGTTAAGAATTTTTTTCCCCTCGGTTTCACCCACTGGTGCTTGTTAAGGAGCAGATAAAAGAGAAACCAGCCAGTGCCTGAGCTTGTGCCTGGGAGGAGGCAGGAGCCGGCGGGAGCAGCGGGTCAGCGCAGAGGACACGGCGTTGGCCACCTGAACAGACCCACCTCAATATTCACTGCAAATCTGAGACACAGAAATGCACACGGCGTGCCAGGCAACGGAAATTAATATCCCTTTGCAAAGTGCAAATAAAAACCAAGCAGCTTCACTCACGCCGGTCATGAGCACAGGGACCAGCATGGCTGGGACCAGGGCACGCTCTGCTCCTGACCGTGAGCAGCCAAAAATGAAACCCATGTCCTTTCCAGGGCCTCGCTAAAATGTTTTATGACCTGCACGCTGTCAATTTATTCTCGAAAAAATTCTGCCCACTCCCCACGTCTTGGTGGCTGTTTGTACCCAGGGTAGGTACCTATTCACGTGGAGCTTCGAAAACCTGTTTAACTGAGAAAAGGCCAGACGGATGCCAGATTAATTCTGCACCCCTTCTGTTCCCGGAGCTGACTCATTACACTTGGAAAGCTGGCTGCCTCTCCGTGTAAACACAGCACTGGCCTGTTCAACAGCTTGGAGGGAGTATTACATTTGCACAACAATTACCAACAACGCTCGCCCGGCTTCGTTTCATTTTTAAGCACGTTTAATAAGAGTCAGAAGGGAGGTAACAAATTCCCGGGTTGGAAGAGCGATCCCCAGCTCGTGGGAGCCATGGACGAGCATTTCAAAGCTGCAAATCTAGGGCTGTAGAATTACAATTTGGCTTCAATCCCTCCCCTCATCTGGGAGCTGGACAAGCCACCCCATTTCCACGCCACCCCGCTCAACCTCACCTCTCTACCAGGGGACAACCCTCACCCTTCTTATTTTGTAAACAATTAACTAAGCTCCTTCAACTGGATGATTACACATCTGCCGCATAATAAAAAGTGGGAGACCCAGTGAGCTCAACAGAATATAATCCCTCGCACTTCTCCGGGAAAACAAAGGAGCATTTACCTCTGGGCAGCAGCCAGCCCTGGCTGCACACGCCGCCTTCCCCGCACACGCCACGCCAGCCCCTGGCACGGCCACAGCGCCCAGCGCAGCCCGTGGGTCCCACACCTCCACCCTGGGAAAGCAGCTGTGGAGAGGGTGAGGCTGTCCTGGGACTGGGCCAGCCTGGACATGGCAGATCCCACCGCTTCAGGATGACCGGGAAGGCCATGGTGGTCCCAGCCCCTGGAGAACAGCACTCATGGTTTTGCTGCAGGGAGAAAGCTGGAAAAGTGGGGGGGACACAGACACAGGCAAAATCCTCTTCTCTCCTCTCGATGGGGTGAGGAACCAGTTGAAAATGTGTTGGGTTTGGAGGGGTTTTTATTTATTTATTTTATTTTGCCAAGAGCAAGCCACACACTGAGACCAAACATCGCTGTGGAGGACCTCAAAAGGCAATGGTCCCAAAAGGGACGGGAAGGGAGGGGAAGGGAGGGGGTCATCTGTCCCTTTGAGCTGCAGGAGAAGGAGGAGAAGCAGGAGGAGAGTGCTGTCAGCTCCACGCTCAGCCACTGAGCTGGCTGGGAGGCAGCGTGGGACCAGTCACACCCATGAGCCAGCAGCACTGGGCTCCCAGCAATGGGGACAGGCACAGATGGGAGCCCGCTCTCAACACCTGCCTGACAGGAGAGGAGATTCCCAGTCAACAAACCCAATGGACCTGGTGTGCATTTAACCCCCAACCCTTCCCTTCCTGCCTTCACCAGCACAGCTAGTATCTGTGACAAGACAAAACACAAACAACACTCAAGTCCTCAAATGTTTTCAGATGTGGATCCGAGGTGGAGCAAGAGCTTTCCCTGGCTCTGCTGGTCCCGTCCCTCCATCCCTGCCCTCCACACAGCCTCTCACCCTGCTGCGTGCAGACCTGGCTCCCGTCATCTCTCTCTGAAGCCGTAACGAATTACCTCATGCTCAAGATCTGTGCGTTGGAACCTGCCCATACCCCGCCAGCTTGGAGTAGAAAAGATTGTGCAGACTTCTTGAAACGCCAGACAATAAGAAGAAAGCTGGCTGGAGGCACTTACCCGCCACAAAAAAACTCCAAGGCGAGGATGGCAATTAGAGGCGCAGACGTTATTTGCACAAATCCAACACATTTGTTTGGTCTGAAAAGGTTGGAAGATGAACAAGCCCCATCGAAACATGAACATTTTAAAACCTCAAGCTCCTTTTGAGGACTCTGTCCCAGAAAAATCTTCAAATCTTTCAAAATTGCCTTAAAATAACGACTCCCATAGATCACAGTCAAAATTTGATGGTCCCCACCCTGGAAAGCATGGTGAGAAAAACCAAAGTTGAAGTCTTCCAACATGCTGAACTCTGTCCTTCTCCATCACCCTGCTGATACCTTCGCTGAGATATTTGTCACCCCAACAAAGACCATCTCTGAGCTGTACAGCATGGTGGCACCTCCTGGAGCTGCATTAAAATCACAGTGTAGGTCACTAGCCGGCTACACGTTCCAAAAAACCACCATCACACCTTCCACCCAGCACAGGCCACACACACCCTGTTCACTGCTGGGTTACCAACATCAAAGACCTGCTCTTCACC